GAAAAAAAAAGAAAGGGTTAAACCGGGTGGCTCCTTGGAGGCAAGGATTCTGAGGCCTTGTCTAACATACCTTGGGCATGTTGTAAGGAGAGACAGGTCCTTGGAGAGGGACATCATCCTTGGGAGGGTGGAGGGACAGCGCAGGAGGGGAAGACCGTATATGAGGTGGATTGATTCAGTGACTGGGGTAATCGGGATGGTGTGTCAGAGACAGTGCCATTAACACAGGACAGAGCAGAGTTTAGGGTTGTTGTATATAGGGTCGCGATGAGTCGCAAGCGACTTGACGGCACATAACAACAACAACAATTTGATAATAGCATTAGTCCAAGACTTGAAATAGTCAAGGTTATATCTTTTTTTAAAAATTGAGACTATAATGGAATTAAGGTTATATCTTTTTAAAAAATATTATTATTAATTTTAATGAAAGTTTACAGAGACTTTGGATTTCCATTCATTCATGGTTGCACTTTTTTCCCTACTCACTCCTCCTTCCCGGTTCACTCTTCTCTTTGAAAAAATAAAAGAAAAATTCTTTCATTTCTAAACAATCCCTTCCCTCAAGTCCACTCCACTATGCAGCCTTCATTCTCGACTCCTGTCATGACAATAATACCTAATCATATCTCCCTTTAAAAAAATTCTCTCCCTCAACCAAGGTTATATTTTAACCATACTTATATTCTTAGAAGATGTTATACATACTCCCTTAAACATCAAATGAACTACGTAACATATTTTCTCTTTTTGACATGATTTTTATGTATTCCCATCTTGCCAAACATAATTAAATGAGAACATGGCTGAACTTATTGTTATTATATCTGTAGTGAATCTTCTTATGGCTTTATTAGTTAAGGTTGATTCTGTTTTCAAGAAGCAAACTGTTAGTAAGTATGAGGACATATTTCTAAAAATTCAAAAGTACATTGGTTAATACACAGTTTTCTCCTGATAAGAAATAATTTTCTCATTTTTTGGTAATAGAAATAAATTTTATAAGTTAGTTCTATAATTAATCTATTCAGAATGATGTATTTATTGAATTAATCTTTGTCTCCCTTTAGATATTCTTATAAGTAGGAATTACAGTATGTAAAAAAGAAATAGTAATTACATTTCTGGTTTCTTTGACCAAAAACTCTACAAACACCCTTTATTCCGTACCTTTTAATGCACATTATTCCATTAACATCAGTGGTTGAATTTTTCATTTACATTTTCTCTGACATTTAAAAATAAAAGCTTTGCTACCTATAATGGATTTTCTTTTCTTACTAAAACAGAAAGTCCTTGGGTTTACTGCAGAAGATAAACAAAGATGTGCAGTTAGAAGGAGAATCTTTGTACTGAAATAAATCCTATTTATAATAAAGAAATAGTAAAAAAATGCTACAATGATGTACCTGCTTTACTTAGAGAAATGTGTAGGCTGAAGCATTAGAATAGCCTAATTGTGGCTTTTCACTGTCCAGTAGGATTTAAAATAATTGCACTCATCTTATCTTCTTTGCTTGTTCTTTTACAATGTAGAGGCTCTTTTCACTTGATTGATAGCATAGAATTTTGGATTCATTTTCAAATTTAACTTTATTGTAACATAAGGTTCACAAACTGAACACATATAAAAGGATATAGTTTGCTTTGACAAACCTACACTTCCAAATATAATTTCAACTTTTGAAATATTAGAAACTAGCAAGGAATGGCTGAAATAATATTGCTATAATAATTTGTTAATTCATATTCCTCATCTTACCTGTTGTAACAGCTATATTTAACATAGTTCACTCTCTCCAACACAATGTTTTCACTGTGTCCTAGCATATTGGTAACTTTAAGGTTCTTTTCCTTTCTATACATTTCTTGAGGCATAGTAATCATTAATTAGCCAAGAAAAAAGTAGAGAAAAATAGCATTCAAAGCTTCAAAGGGATACTTAAAGGTCCAGAGATTAGAGTTATCAACATCCATTAAGAAAACATAGATTTTGGTTTGGTTGAGCAATTTAATAAGAGTTTCAGACATGAAGTTGAAAAGGCAGGCATGACTCAGATTCAAAATATATGAAATTTCATAAAGGCAATAAAATGCAATTTTAGGGAAATAATTCAAAATCCTATTTTCAATTAAAAACCATTCCTTTTGGCTTCATCTTGAAAAAGGAATTTGAGTGGATTAAAACTCTAGGCCAGAAGATAGATTATGAAAGCAAACACCCACAAGGGCTTTGATCTATACCATATTCCAGTGCATCTCATTAAATAAAAATATGCATATAATTCTTATAACAAGCATGACAATTAGAATTGTCATCTCCAAAAATGAAGAAGAGGAGGTCAAGGTTGATGTTTAGAATTCTGCCTTGGAATATTTGGCTTCTATTTACAGCAAAAGAGGAAGTTTTTGCTAGGGAGTGGAATTGGAAACAGGAATGAGGATAGAGAGGACTTTCGTTTTTGAATGCTGGAGAAGAGTACCGACCATCCCATGGACTGCCAAAAGAACACATAGATGTGTCATGGAGAAGGTACATCGAGAGTGTTCCTTGGAGGCAAAGGCGATAAAGATTAATCTCATATAATTGGGGTTGTTGCTAGGAGTGGCTATTCCTTGGAGAGGGAATCATGCATGGAAAGGTGGAGGAAGGTCAGCAAAGGAAAGGAAGACCCTTAATCATATGAACTGACCTAGTGATGCAGCAATGGCTTGCGTATGTCAGAGATTGTAAGGATGGCACTGTGTAGGATGTGGTTCAGATCTATTGTTTATATATGAGTTGTACTTAGCTTGATGGTACCTAATAGCAACATGTCGAATTACACTTTCCTCTTGAATAGTTTATAGTGTGTTGACTATATTTTCCTCTTGGGTTTCCATGTAGTGCTGCTCAATAAGTAATATTTGGGTCTGGAAGTCAAATGACACAACAGTGCCAAAGATACAGATTTGGTACAGATGTGGTTTTCATCATTCCTCTTCCCAAAACTCAGGCAGCAGGAGTGGTATAGTCCTTAGACAGTGGTGGTGCTAACCCAATGGCCATGACTCGCTGCAGATTTGAATCTTCTAGCTGCTTCTTGGGGAAATATCTTCTCCCTGGTAATTTACAGCCTCAGAGACCCAAGGGAAGGTCAGTTAAGAGTTGGTTCTCATTTCACGGCATTAGA